AGCTGGTGGTGAGCACTGGACCCATTTGAATACAGAAGTGAGAGTAAGCGAGTGCAGGAAATACGTTTGCCTAAAGCTGTAAATACTATAAACCCTGACAAAATAGAAACGATACAAGCTACAAAAATTGCAAGCTGGAGTACAGAGGATAGGAGGAAGTGCAATGATGTTCATTACCTCGTTTTGCAGAGTAAGTCGTCAATTGACATTCTTAATCAAGAAATATAGAAAAAAAGAAATATGGGCTGTTCGGATTTCCTCTTGTTTATATATTTCTTTGCCTATGTTCTTTGGGCTATTTCTCATATCTTTGCTGTCTTTCCCCTTTCTTTCTTTTTGTTTTAACCAATGTGCATTGAATATTAATGTATCTAAACTGAATACTTAATAAATCTTATTGAAGTAGTTTTGCAGATTGCATGGGACTATAAAGTCTATGAGGATTGAGAATATGATTTATTCATCTTTGAATTCTCTCAGCACCTGGCATAGGGACTTGCACATAGTAGACTGTCAATAATTTTTTTGAATAAATGAATTAATTTGCTTTGTTTTGTATACATTTTGTTCCTAGAACAGTGGTCGAAGATTAGCTGGAAATCTAGGGAAAGTGAACCATGATTGGAGAATATAATAAAGCCTGTCAATGACATCTGAGAGACCTATTATAAATGCTTCTGATGCCTCATTAAAGACACTCTATTGTTTTCAAAATGCATTTTTACTCCAGTAAACAATCTCATCTTGCTTTAATTTAATCATTTATACTGCTATGAAAATGATCATTTCCAAGTACAGGTCAGATACTGTCACTTCTCTGCTTTAAAAAAATCCAATCCTCTCCCCGACCCCACCCCTCTTGTTACAGCAGGGTCCATATTCCTAAGCGTGGCATTGAAGGTCCCATATGATCTGACCTCAGTTCACCTCTTCTCAGCCAGTGCATCCCAAGTGCTATCCATCCTGCAATTTCTGGAACCTGCTATATACATTTGTGCTTCTATGTTTTTGCTCATGCTATTTCCTCTACTTAAAATGTCACTCCTCAAAAAAAAAAAAAAAGTCACTCCTTGTCTCATATCCTTCTCTTATCTTGCTGCCTGTATCCATCACGATACTACTTCATTGCTGAGGGCCCAACTCAACTGCCTTTTCTGTAAAGCTCCACTATTTCCCATGATTAGGTAATGATACTATTCTTCTGTAGTACTTTGCTCATGCTTCACGTGTTGTATTATAGCTAATTGTACATACACCTAACACTCTCTCCTAGATCATTAACTTCTTGATTTGTACCTTTCCTTTTCCTATATTCTTTGGGCCGTGTCTCATCTGTTTCAGAAAGTTGTCACAGAGTATGTGCCTAACACATAGTAAGTGCTCAATAAATGCTTGTAGTTTGAAATAAGAAAGCACTTCTTATATTTCCACATTAAAAATACTTCTAAGTGTAATGGGGGCTAAACTGAAAATCCTAAAGGTTGGCAGGAGGTAGAAAAGCTGTCTCTTAAACTGTAGGTGGTTTTCTGTCCTGATAGGAGACTCAAGCATTTCTTCAGAAGTAGATTGTTTTGGGAAAACTGTAAATTGTTTAACTACTTGTATTAAAGCAAGTACACATACATGTACTACTCTTGGAAAAATATAAAGTAACCATTAACCTGAATGTAGATGCTTTAGTCTGATAAGCAGAGTGTTCCGTTTGTATAGGCAAATCTTTATGTGTGGAGCACAGGCATTGCTTCTGGAGACATGATGCAGAAGAGACTGTTTCTACTCTCTGTGGATTTAGACCAAATGTGTGTGTGTGTGTGTGTGTGTGAACATATGGCTGTTTCTGTGGAGATGTGAATGTCCTTGCTCTTAGGAGAACAGAAGCTCAGGTTTAAAAGATGCAAGAAAGCAAAGACAGTCATGATCCTCACTGCTTACCAGAGGAATAATTGTGTCAAGGGACTGGACTAACTTTGGTGAAGGTCTACTTGGACTCCATGTTAAGACTGAGGAACTCAATCTTTGTGAGAAATGTGATGTTGGACTGCTATGTTCTAAGGTGACAGTCCACATGGGTCAGAAGTCAAGGTCACACCCCTGGGGATGGAGGGTGGGGTGTCCTCTAAAGTAGTAGATATTCCCATGGTTAGTCTTCCTAGGCACAAGGCAGCACCTGGGATAGAAAATGGGACTTTGAAAGTAGACCTTAAACTGGGGGAGGAGACTTGTTTTCTTCTCAGTTTCACAGTGGTTGGGCCTGGATGTCCAAGACATGGCCAGTGGAACTCTTGATGGAGAAGAGAGCTATCTTCAGCCATATGGACCCAGGCTGGCACTAAGGCAAACCTGTATCTAGCCCAAAGGGTTTTGAGAGGAGCCTCATAATACCTGCAGGGTACTCTGGGTTATTTTTCCTTTCTAATATTTTTATATAAAACTAGGATCTTAGCTGTGCTGTGAGGAGACTTTGAGGGGAAGAGCCTTTGTTTGCGATGCCCTGGTGAAGAGAGGGCAGTGCCCCTTCCTGCTGAATCTCAAGGCAATACTGGAGGTTGCACTGGCTGGAGAGAGCTCAGTGTCCCAGAACATCACTGTATGGGACATCTGAAGCAAAGGCAGGGGCAGTTCAGTTATTTCAGACATAAGTGGGTAATAGTACCTCCCTTGGGGACTCCTCCATACCAGAGAAGTGAGGGAATTTCTAAAGGGGTCTGACATATGGATAATTTGGAAGGTAGGAGCTCAGAGCTGTTGTAGTTGGGACTTTTATTTTAAATATTGCCTCCTTTGTACTAAAAAACTCATGAAAGCTATGACACTGATTTTCAAGGGTACACTGAGGCCTTTTATTAAAAAACAAACAAACAAAAAAAACCCTTTCTATCCTGGGCATTCTGCTCAATAGACTTGAGAAAACCAAAGGTAAACTAAGTATTTCTCAGTTTGATTTTTTATGAGCCCCCTCCCCTTTTTTAAGCTTCCCTTAGACTTCTGCTTTAGTTCCCCTTGAGCCTTGTAGAGAAATACATCTAACCAGAAACTAATTGTTTCTTGCTTTTCTTCCATTATTTGTCCACCCTCTGTTTTCTATATCAGAGAGTAAGGGGAGTTTAAAGCTTTTTATGGATATTATGCATAAGCATGGATGAATATCTAACTGGTTTTTCAGTGAGGTAAGCATCTAAGCTAACATGATTTTTTTGGTTGAGCAGGAAGGTTACTTAACACATTGGCATAGCAGCCACAATCTCGTCGCTGTTGATTGCATCTATGGCCATACTTTGAAAAGAAGAGTGCATTCAGTTCCTTAGAGTTTTTCTGGATTCACGGTGGTGCTTTGTGTTTTTATTCTAACAGCTGCTTATTTGCATACACTGTTAAAGACACTTCCTTACCATCACACTTCTGGTCTTCCTCTAGCTTCTGGGATATGTTTTCTTGACCGTATAGATTCTATAACGAATAGCAACTTTTCTTTCAACGAAAATTCTGCCTATCTGAAATCTCATTATCTTCTCTTAACTACACAACAAAGCTGAGCTTTGTATAATTTTACTTTGGCATATTAATAATTTTATTCATCTCCAGGACTTTCCTGAAATTCTCTTCCTTTCTTTACAGATCTTCCCCTGGGATTTAGATTCTGTAAAATTATGATCAATTCCATTTACTTTACTTAACAAACATTTATTGGATACCTATTATGTTGCAGGCATCAGGCTACCTGTTAGGGCTACAGAGTAGAAGAGCTCACACTTGGTTTTATGGCTAGAATATCTGACTCACTGGTTCTAGGTTCTTCACTAACTCCTCCAGGATTGTACTGAAAAGAGGAACCCCCTCTTATGGCTATTGAATGCTACAGGGAGAAAGCAACTAATGAGGAAAGCAATCCAGGTTACTGAGGTGATAACAAAAAGGGTGGGGGGAGGCTTCTAAGCAAATAAATTGGGAGAAATACTGAATCCAAAGACGCTGGAGAAGAAGCGTACTTTAAAGGTTAGATTTTTTTTCCAGGGCAATGTAAGGTTTCATTTTTGGTATGTGTGTAGATAAACAAGAACAGTTTACATGAAAATAATAGGAGACTATGCATATTTTATTATTTTTAAATTAACGCATTTATCACGGCATTAATGTTCTGTGTTGATATGATTCTTTTATAGTATTTCCTTCCATCAAAAATTTTTGAGGGAGAATATTATCTCTTAGTAAAGTTTTCGTAAATAACATGAGGTCTTTAGATGTGGGGTCCCAATTTTTTTTTTCTTTGTGTTTTGTTGAAGAACTCTGAAGATATAATTCCAGGTCTAAAGGCGCAAGGGACTAATCCATTGCTTCCTCTGCTCCATACCGGCTGAAGAAGGACGACACAGTCTCCTTTTGTTTTCTGAAAATAAAAGGAAGGAGGCAAAGGGTGTTAAGAGTGAAGGGGTTTCTAGGGGTCAAACCTGGTGCTTAAGAACCTCCGCGAACTCTCCAGCTTTTACTTGAGTAGCTCCAGTAAAATAGATGGTCTCCAAAACCGGAGGGCTGGGGCAGAGGCCGGTCCGCGAGGCGCGGGATGGAGCGCGGGGGCAGCCTCGGGTCCGGGGGAAGGTGCCCGCATTCTGCAGGTGCTGGGACCGAGGTCTCGCTCAGCCGCGGCTCCCGAGAGGGCGGGAACGGCGGCGTTGCGGAGCGTAGGCTTTGGCTTCCGAAGCAGAGCCCCCACGTCTTCAAACAGCAGACGGCGATCCCGCCGAGCGCCCACACCTGGCTTCGGGGAGGGGAAACAGCATTTGTAGAAACTGCAGCGAGTCGAAGAGACCCCGGTTTGGGACGCCCGAAGGCTGGTCTGGCTCGGCTCTTTCTGACTGTTTTCCCGTGATTGCTTCCCTACCTTGTCCATCATTTCGATACGTTATTTCTATTGGCTGTACCGTCTGCCACTCGGTTCCGCCGCGCTGACCCCCATTGGGCCTCCGCCGGCAGAGGCCCCGCCCCGCGAGCTGGGCAACAGCCTCGGGGCGCAGAAGAGAGAGAGAGCGCGGCGCTTGCTCTGGGCTGGGGGAGGCGGCGGCGGAGAAGGAGGAGGAGAAGGAGGAGGAGCGGGGCCAGCGGGAGGCAGCGGCGGCGACCCGGCTGGGGTGATGGTGCAGGTGCCCGGGTTCGGCGCGGAGCTGCCGGGCTGAGGGGCGCCTAGTCCGGGGTCCGCAGCGCCGCGGCGTCTCTCCCGGGGGCGGCGGGCGGGCGGGAAGATGCTGAGCAGGTTGATGAGCGGCAGCAGCAGGAGCCTGGAGCGCGAGTACAGCTGCACCGTGCGGCTGCTGGACGACAGCGAGTACACCTGCACCATCCAGGTCAGTGCCGCGCCGGCCGCCCCGCCCCGGGACCCCGTCGTCCACCGAGTCTGGCCAACTTGGCCCTTTGGTCGCTGCCTGGGAGTCGCCGCAGACCCCGGCGCTTTGTCCGCCCCTGGCTGCGGAGGACGGCCCCGTTTGCAGGGCGCCTCCACCGGAGCCCCTGCCTGTGGCGGGCACTGCGCGCTTGGCGCGGCTGCGGGGCGAGTCCCCGCGTCTCGGACCCCCAACTCGTTCCCTGCTCTCTCCCGGGGTAAGGGCGCTCCATCCTGGCTTGTGGAGCCAGCCCGGATGGGGCGCATCATCCGCGGGCGTCCGGAGGGAGGCGGGCAGGGCTGGAGGCTCCTTCCCCGGCCGCCCCGTCGAGGGGCGCTGGCGTTGGGCTCTCCGGCCCCGCAAGGACGGCTAGCAGGCTTTTCTTATCTGTCTTTGGTCGGAAGGATAATGGTGTATGTCATAATTTCCCCCCCAGCATTTGTGAGTCAGAGCTCTCTGAAGGTAGAACTGAACGCGCAGCCCATGCAGAGTGGCCTATGGAAGGGAACCCAGCCAGCCCTCTGGGTGTTAAAGATCTGGGTCCCCCTCCCGCTCTTCGCTCCCCAAATCTCATGCCTGTTGGGCAGTTCTGGGGGGCGTGAGGTGAAGATTTAGCAACAAGTCTTAGCGATTTGAGGGTCGACGGTGGCGAGAAAGAATCGGTGACTTCCAGAAACGCCAACAATACGATAATGCTGCACAGCATTTCTCCAGAACCCGGTGTTTTTGAAGGGATTTTTACAACCCCTGGCTTATGTCCCTTCACTACTGCTGTGTGGCACGTCAGGAGTAGTAGTCTTTCGCAGGAACGCAGTCACAGCCCTCTCTCCTTTATAAAGTCAGAGAGAGGAAACATCGACAATGCCCCGGCGTTTAGTTCAGCAGCCGGGTGGATCCTGCGCTCCCCGCCGGAAACTGCTCTTTCCAGAGCAGCAAATTGAGTTGCACCCGCAGGGGTCTCACCTGATCCCGATTTCAGCAAGAAATCAGAGGGCTACTCGCCTCAGAGGTGGCAGACAAAAACTGTCGGCCCCGGGTCCTACTCTCTTTGTCTCCCTGCCTACACCCCCCCCCCCCC